TGGACTCATTCCCAGGGTGGCCACACAGCTGTGGGGCCCTGTGACCTTGGCACTGACCACCCACGGAGAGGACGGTATTTAAAGAGGCTGAGTTCTTCATCTCTCTCTGCTGTTTTCTCTCGTTTCCCTTTTACGTTTTTGACAAGTCCCACCATACTCAGTTCCAGCGTGGGACACACACTAGTGGATTGCTGATGGGTGGAAAGTTGTGCGTGCCGTGTTGTGTTGCTGACACCGAAGGCAAAAGCCCAGGACCTGGCCCCAGGTTAGGCTCACACACGCCTGGGCTGTCCCATCTCGGGGGCTCCTTGGTTAGAGCTGAAGGTCTTCGGGCTCTGGTCCCCGTGGGGCTCCCTCACTGGGGAGTGTGTCCAGCCCCTGTCCTCCAGCACTGGGCCCCTGCCTCCCCAGCCACGGCCCTCAGGGCAGAGGGGACCACAGACATTCTGGGGTGGACTCTCCTCCGTGTTGGAGATATGAAAAATAAAAAGGGAAGGACTTGGGGAAGAGAATGGGCACTGTTTACTTCCTCCCAATTCCATGTTAACGAGTTCCCGCTGAATTCTCTGGGTAAGCAGAGAACAGCTGTGCAGAGCATGAGCTGTGAGCCCCAGGCCCGTTCTCCTGGTAAGACTGGGCCCCACAGTGCTGACCTCTCACCAAGGGTCTGTCCCTTTGTCCCTTCCTATGACTGATTCTTTCATGGCATCTAATGATGAGGCAAGGAAGCTGTCAGCTGGGAGTGTCGACACCATTGATTGCCCCCATAAGGAGCCAGTGGGATGGACACCAGCTCCCACCCCTTGCCCGAAACATTCCTGCAGACCCTCAGCCTGCAGCAGTGCCCCACCGAAGGTCCCCACCTACAGTTCTGCCCACACCCCCAGGCTCTCCCCAGCTCACCACCTCCCAGGGTGCTTCCAGCTCTCCTCCCCCAGGGTCCCTCCAGCTCTGGCTCCCGCCCCCAGGGTCCCTCCAGCTGGGCTGTCTCTTGCACCCTGGGGCCTGGTGCTCTACCGCTCTCTGTCCGCTTCCTGCCTCCAGGCTGTGTCCCAGCTCTATGCACCTGACACACATGTCTCCCCTCTTCATCTGTCTAAAGCCTACCTGTGCTTTCCAAGCACATCTCAAATATCATTTCAAATGTCAAATAACAGAGTGATCTTTTAAAAATATAAATCCGATCATGTCATTTGTGCTTAACGCCTTTCATGGTTTCTGATTGCACAGTAAACCCAAGGCCCTTCTCTGCGGTCCAGGTCCCTGCCCACCTCGGTCCTCGTCCCCCTGTCCCCTTCATCCCCGAGCTCATCCCTGCCCTGGGGACATGCCATTTGCCATAGCTTTGCAGGGATGGCTTTCCCTGGTTCTGCATGTGGCGAACTCTGTCTTGACGTCCATGTCTGTTCAAATATCACAGAATCTGCAGGAGAGCTTCTGTGTCCTGAATCTGAGGCAGCCCCTTCAGGAAAAGAATCACAGCCCTGAAGACGTCCATGTCCCCATTGCTGGTACCTGTGAGTATGTTATGCTTTGTGGCAACAGGGGCTTTGCAGAGGGAATGGAGGATACAAAGTTTAAGGTTTCCTGGCTTATCTGTGGGGGCCCAGCGTGATTATAAATGTCCTTAGATGTGGAAGGGAGAGGTGGGAGGAAGAAGCAGCGTGGGTCCACGTGAGATGCATGGACGGCCGATGCTGGCTTTGATGGTGGAGGAAGGGGCTGAGCTCTGAGGAATGGGGTTTTCACAGGAGCAGGATACAGCTCTTAGCAAGGGAACCTCTGTCCTGCAGCCACAGGAGCTGAATTCTGCCAACAACCCACACAAGCTGGAAACAGACACCCCCAGGGCCTCTAGAAGGAAGGCAGCCGGCAGACTGGGGACCCCTGGGAATGGTAGGATAACACACTCGTGTGGTTTCAGCCGCTGAACATGTGGTTATGGCAGCCACAGAAAATGAATGCAGCCCACATCGCTCTTTTTTTTTTTCTTTTGTGAGACACGATTTCAGTCTGTCACCCAGGCTGGGGTGCAGTGGCACGATCACGGCTCAGTGCAGCCTAAACCTTCTGGGCTTAAGTGATCCCCCTGCTTCAGCCTCCCAAGAAGCTGGGACTACAGGTGCATGCTAGCATGCTTAGCTAATTCTTTTTTTTAATGTTAATCATTATTTATTGAAAAATAAAACCTGAAAGGCACTGGATTCAGTCATAATATGTCCAGATATTCTTCTATTTAAAAAAAATTTTACTTTAAGTTCTGGGATACATGTGCAGAATGTGCAGGTTTGTTACTTAGGTATACATGTGCCATAGTGGTTTGCTGCACCCATCAACCCGTCATCTAGGTTTTAAGCCCCACATGCATTAGGTATTTGTCCTAATGCTCTCCCTCCCCTTGCCTCCCACCCCCTGACAGGCCCCAGTGTGTAATGTTCCCCTCCTTGTGTCCATGTGTTCTTGTTCAACTTCCACTTATGAGTGAGAACATGAGGTGTTTGGTTTTCTGTTCCTGTGCAGGGACATGGATGAAGCTGGAAACCAGCTATTTTTTTTTTAGATGGAGTCTCTTTCTGTTGCCCAGGTTGGAGTATAGTGGCGCGATCTTGCTCACTGCAACCTCTGCCTCCCGGGTTCAAGCGACTCTCCTGTCTCAGCCTCCCGAGTAGCTGGGACTACAAGCGTGCACCACCACACCCAGCTAATTTTTTGTATTTTTAGTAGAGATGGGGTTTCACCGTGTTAGCCAGGATTGTCTCGATCTCCTGACCTCATGATCCACCTGCCTTGACCTCCCAGAGTGCTGGGATTACAGACATGAGCCACCTCGCCTGGCCTGAAACCAGTGAATTTTTAAATTGTTTGTAGAGATGAGGTTTCACCCTATTGCCCAGGCTGGCCATGAACTCCTGGACTCAAGCAACGTGCCCGCCTTGACCTCCCAAAGTGCTGGGATTACAGATGTGAGCCGCTGTGCCCAGCCCCCATGACTCCTTAATCAGATCAACTGATTCTGTCATCTTCATAGCTTCTGTCATTTTCTGACCTGAAAGTGATGTTTCCCCTGACATGCTGTGGCCTGGATAAACCTTTCGGACATCATCAGAGAAGCACAAATACTGTGGAATTCCACTTCCTGTGAGGTCCCTGGCATAAACTCTTAGAAACATAAAGGAGAATGGTGGGTGCCAGGGCAGTGGGGAGCGTGTGTCTGGGGGTTGTTTCATGGATCCCTGGTTTCAGATTTGCCAGGTGAGAAGCTCCAGCCCGGCTGCACTCCACACTTAAGATCCTAAGCTGATGTTATATAGATACATTTTTCAACCAGGGAAAAGGTGGTCTTCTCTTGCGTTCTCGTGTGTCTCCCAGCGCCCTCCTGGCACCCCCACTGAAACATCAACGTTCGAGCAGGGTCCCATCTGCCTTGGTCGTGTGATATGGTTTCGCTGTGTCCCCACTCAAATCTCAACCTGAATTGTATCTCCCAGAATTCCCACGTGTTGTGGGAGGGACCCAGGGGAGGTAAATGAATCATGGAGGCCGGCCTTTCCTGTGCCATTCTCGTGATAGTATATAAGTCTCACGAAATCTGATGGGTTTATCGGGTTTCTGCCTTTGCTTCTTCCTCACTTTTCTCTAGCTGCTGCCATGTAAGAAGTGCCTTTCGCTTCCCACCATGATTCTGAGGCCTCCCCAGCCATGTGTAACTGTGAGTCCAATGAAACCTCTTTTTCTTCCCAGCATGAAATGGACTAATACATCAAGCTAGTCCCCAGTGTGTGGAACAGAGTCCCAGTGTGTGGAACAGAGCAGGTGCACACATACATATTATTTATTGTTTATTAAAATATAAATTTGTTATTTAACAAAATATATTAATTCACATATAAGTTAATATGATTTGTGAAACCTCTTTCTAACATCTCAAATACATTTACTAATGAGAAAAATCTTTTTTAAATTGTCAAAACCTGTGTCTCAACTTTTGCCTCAAAAACTGCAGTCCTGCTGTCAGCAACGGCTTTGTGAGTTGCTTTAGGGAAGAACCCGAGCAGGGAGGACAGACCCTGCAGACCAGGCTGGGGTGAGGGTGTGACTATTGTCTCCTGGCCCCCATACATTCAAGAAGAAGGTGTTGGGGCCTCATCTTGGCCCTTTGCCTCTTGCCTCTGATCTGTTTCCTTAGGATGGATTTGGGACAGAGCTAATGGAGGCTCCTCTGGCGTGTCCCGGGGGCTTTAGCTCAATCTTGGTGATTTTAGCTCCTCTGAATTCTTCTTACTGTTCTCCTTGGGGGCCAGTAGTTGCAGATGGCTAGGAGAGGGTGGGGCAGCTCCGGTGCTCTCTGCACTGAGGAAGGACTCCTGCCGCCCTGTGTGTGCTGCTGTGGATGCTGAGCGCAGTCTGGATGGGGTTGCCAGCTGGGGCTGCAGGCATTCCCTTCCTGTAAGTGTGATGAGCTCCTCCACCACACGAAGTGCTCCCAGCCACCCACCCCCCACCCTCCATCTTCTACCCTCCAGC